GGTCGACTCAGCCTCAAATGAGTGCCTGGTGCGGTGTGTGAACATTGCCACTAGGGAGACAAAGGCGGTCGGGCGTGGTGCTGGCCCCCCGACCCCCTCATGCGCCGTCCCCGCCTTCGTAGGTGCTCGCTAGCGACACTTGCCCCAGAATTCCGTCAAGACTATACGGGGGATCTTTGTATCTGTCTGGCGAAACGACCTCCACCTCCTTGATGGTGACGACGGTGACGTTGCCGTGCGCCGTGAGGAATGCCGCTGGGGAAGAGGCCCTGAGCCGTTCGCCTCGTGGCTGGGCTCACGGCCCCCACCGTGGCTAACGGGGGCGCTGGGTGGCTGGAATGGTTCCAAGCCCCTCCACCCCACATTCCTATACCCACGGATCCATCGATGTAGGAATATATACCGGAGGCCCCCGAGGGAACAGGGGTCTATGTCAAGGGACTGAGCCCCCCCCCCCATCCCCCTCCCTTTCAGGGAGTCTCCAGAAACAATTGTCAATCGCTACGGCTGCGGGGGGGGAGAAAGAGAGGGCTGCCTGTTCCCTGTCGGGAGCTCGACTGGCACCACATGGACCTCTGGGGAATACAGCTCCAGGTGGACTGCTTTTGGCTTCTGCGACCACGAGGAGTGGACGGTCCTCCACTCAGACCTCTGCTTGGGACGGGATACCATTAGTGAGCAGGGAGTGGCTCTTCTGGAGCGTGGCAGCGAGCTGCAGGAAGCTCTGAGATCACGTCCCCATCAACAGGAGGGACAGGATGGTGGTGGTGGTTGCCCATGCCACCACCAAAGATGAACATGTGCGCCAGGACACAGGCAATGCTTATGGGTCAGATGCTTCACATGACCTCCAGTCCATGGAGCTGGCCAGAGTGGGTCATTGGGATGAAGGCATCTTGTCACGTGACTGCAATGCCTGAGTGAGTCATGACATAGGCACGTGGGCCGCAGTAATTGGAAAGCATTGGCTAGTCCGGCTCAATAACACGCTGTTGCGGCATCGGCGCATCCACACATCATGGATACACCCCGGGTACAAGTAAGAATATTTGCTGGACTATTTCGTGAGGGAAGAGTAAATACGGGTCCGTGTTCTTGACACTGAGACCTACCGTGGAGCTGAGCTTCCCGTTGACCATCGGCTTGCCATCACAACGATTGTAAAGGCCCTGGCAAGGATGATTCAACTTCGCCTTGCCAGGCAAGCTGAGGAAAGACTTGAGTAGCCCCAATGTGGTTTCAGGCTGAGCGCGGTCCTGCACGGATGCCATATTCTGTCCATTTGATATCACAGAGGCGTTTGGACCTACACCTCTGCTTTATTTACCTGACCAAGCCATACGATATCATTCAGAGGCCAGAGCTTTCGGGGTCCTTGACCATGTGCTCACAATCACTAAAGACCTTCACGATGGTGGGCAGGCCGAGGTACACTTTGGGGTGCGACAGGGATGTCCTCTGACCTCTACACCATTGATCATCTTCTTTGACTACGCAATTCGAGACGCCTTCCATGGTTGTACCGGAGGAATTCCCATCTGGTACAGCAGGTAGAGTTGGAGGCTAATGGATGCCCGGGTGCGACCAATAGATGGCTCCTTATTGGCCAACCATGCAGTGTATGCTGGTGATGTGGTCATTGTTGCTCTGTTCATCAAGATGTGAATGATGGCCGAGATGTACCGATGTGTACATGTGCATACAGGCAACGGTGTAAGAGTGTATATGCGAGTGTGTGTGCTAGAGTGCGCGCGTGTGCATGTGCGCTAGTGTGTATGTGCTAGTGTGTGTGTGTATACACACACACACTAGCACAGTAGGGGGCACAGGTGGTGCATCAGTCAGTCATCTCAGTCAGTCGACCCGTGGCACCTGGGTCTGCCCTGTGACTTCCTGCCCGCGGGCGTTCGACACTTCACGTGGCCTCAAGGTGCACATGGCCTGGCACAAGCGTCGTGGTGACGTCACCGCCACTTAGTGGCGAATGGCGGTTGTTGTTGTTGTTGTGTATACGTGGGGGGGGGGGGGGTAGCGCAACGCTGCGCTACGAACCCAGCGACCCGGGTTCAATTCCCGCACACGGCCAACACCAGTGACGATTATCTGAACCGGTTCTGGGCCTCCCCTAGGTCGACTCAGCCTCACTTGAGTACCTGGTGCGGTGTGTAAACGTCGCCACTAGGGAGACAAAGGCGGCCAGGCGTGGTGCTGGCCACCCACCCCCTCGTGTGCCGTGCCGGCCTTCATAGGTGCTCGATAACAGCACTTGCCCCTACAGTCTGTTAAGGCTATACGGGGGATCTTTGTGTGTGTGTGTAAGAGTGTGTGGGGGACAGTGTGTGAGTGTGTGTGTACGAGTGTGTGGTGGGGTGTGACTGTGTGTGTGACTGTGCGTGTGTGGGGGTGAGTGTGTGAATGTGTGTGTGTGTACAAGTGTGTGGGGATGAGTGTGTGACTGTGTGTGTGTACGAGTGTGTGTGTGTGCGAGTGTGTGGGGGTGTGTGACTGTGTGTGTGTGACTGTGCGTGTGTGGGGGTGAGTGTGTGACTGTGTGTGTGTACAAGTGTGTGGGGGTGAGTGTGTGACTGTGTGTGTGTGTACGAGTGTGTGTGTGTGCGAGTGTGTTGGGGTGTGTGACTGTGTGTGTGTGTGACTGTGCGTGTGTGGGGGTGAGTGTGTGACTGTGTGTGTGTGTACAAGTGTGTGGGGGTGAGTGTGTGACTGTGTGTGTGTACGAGTGTGTGTGTGACTGTGTGTGACTGTGCGTGTACGAGTGTGTAGGGGTGAGTATGTGTGTGTGCGAGCGTGTGGGGGTGAGTGTGTGACTGTGTGTGTGGGGGTGAGTGTGACTGTGTGTAGGGGGAGCGGTAGTGTAGCGGTTAGCGCGCTGCGCTATGAACCCGGCGACCCGGGTTCGATTCCCGCTCACGGCCAACACCAGTGACGATTATCTGAACCGGTCCCGGGCCTCCCCTAGGTCGACTCAGCCTCAAATGAGTACCTGGTGCGGTGTGTAAACATTGCCACTAGGGAGACAAAGGCGGTCGGGCGTGGTGCTGGCCACCTACCCCCTCGTGTACCGTTCCGGCCTTCATAGGTGCTCGCTAACAGCAATTGCCCCAACAGTCTGTTACAGGCTATATGGGGGATCTTTGTTATCTTTGTGTGTGTGGGGGTGAGTGTGGGGGTGAGTGTGTGGTTGGCACAATAGGGGGCACAGGTGGTGCATCAGCCAGTCATCTCAGTCAGTCGACCCGTGGCACCTGGGTCTGCCCCGTGACCTCCTGCCAGTGGGCGTTCGACACTTCACGTGGGCTCAGGGTGCACATAGCCTGGCACAAGCGTCGTGGTGACGTCACCGCCACTTAGTGGCGAATGGCGGTTGTTGTTGTGTGACTGTGTGTGTGACTGTCCGTCTGCTACAGCAGAGGTGTAGGGAATTCCAACAAGACCTACATCTCTGCTTTATTATGGTCAAGGCCTATGATACCATCAGTAGGCCTGGGCTCTGGGTCGTTCTTCGTGCTTTTGGAGTCCCTGACCCTCTGCTCACGCTCATTAAGGACCTTCATGATGGTGAGCGGGGCCGGGTAAAACTACGTGGCCGGGAGTCAGAGCCATTCCCTGTACACCTTGGGGTGCGACAGGGATGTCCTCTGCCTCCCACATTATTTAACATCTATTTTGACGACGTAGTTCGTGAAGCCTTCAATAGCTGTACCGGGGGAATCTCCATTTGGTACAGATATAATGGAAGGCTGATCGATGCCCGGGTGCGGTCAAGATATGGCTCCCTATTGCTCAACCACGTTATGTATGCCGATGATTTGGTAATAGCTGCTCAGTCAGAGGAGGAGTTGGAGACGCTGCTGCTGAGACTGGAACGTGCCACTAAGAGGTGGGGCCTTACCATCAGCCCCACCAAAACTAAGCACCTGCCTGGGTATTTTGTACCATCGGACACTCCACCCCCACAACTCCCAATCGGTGATGGGGCAGTTGTGGAGAAAGTGGAGAGTTTCCCATACCTGGGCAGTGTGCTTATGACCGGCTCCAGTTTAACAGCAGAGGTCTCACTCCGAATCAGTCGAGCGGCAATATCTTTTAATCGGTTGCGTAACGCTGGGTGGAAGCTACCTGGTCTGTCGCTCCGCACTAAGCCTCAGGTCTTCTCGGCCACGGTCATTCCCTCCCATTACCCGCTTGCGAAATGTGGACCCCCCTAATGGAACATCTTCGCCGATTAGAAACATTTAGGCTAGCCTGCCTACGATCCATCCTGGGTTTAACCAGGCTGGATTGTGTGAGGAGCTCACAAATCTTTTAAAGATCTGGGCAAGGTCCCATCGGTGAGCTCCTCCGTCAGGCAAGGCTGCGTTGGCTGGGTCATGTAGCCCGCGCGGTGTGTCACCATCAGCACTGGAGAGACAAAGGCGGCCGGGCGAGGTGTTGGCGACCCACCCCCTCGTGTACCGTTCCGGCCTTCATAGGTGCTCGCTAACAGCACTTGCCCCTACAGTCTGTTAAAGGCTACACGGGGGAACATTGTCTTTGTGTATACTTCTGATCGTGCTTGTACACACCGACGCGAAGCTTGAACGCGCACACACAAAGATAAAGACAAAGATCCCCCATATAGCCTTAACAGACTGTAGGGGCAAGTGCTGTTAGCGAGCACCTATGAAGGCCGGCACTGTACACGAGGGGGTGGGTGGCCAGCACCACACCCGGCCGCCTTTGTCTCCCTAGTGGCAATGTTTACACACCGCACCAGGTACTCATTTGAGGCTGAGTCGACCTAGGGGAGGCCCGGGACCGGTTCAGATAATCGTCACTGGTGTTGGCAATGAGCGGGAATCGAACCCGGGTCGCCAGGTTCATAGCGCAGCGTAGCGCTAACCGCTACACTACCGCTCCCCACTGACACGCACGCACACACACGGACACACGCAGACACACTGATACACACTGACACACACACTCATCTGTGTGTAAATTCTACAAACACACACTAAAATAGACACAAATGTACCGTTAAAACATGTACACACAATGACACGCAAACATTTATGTATTACAAGACGAAGATCCCTGGTATAGCCTTAATAGATTGGTTTTGTTGAGTTCGGTTGTAGTGTCGGCACGGGTGTAGTGTCGGCACGTGTGTCCACGGGTGTGTTAACGAGTCACGTGTGTTAACGTGTCACGTGTGTCCACGGGTGTGTTAACGAGTCACGTGTGTCCACGGGTGTGTTAACGTGTCACGTGTGTCCGCGGGTGTGTTAACGAGTCACGTGTGTCCACGGGTGTGTTAACGAGTCGCGTGTGCCCACGGGTGTGTTAACGAGTCGCGTGTGTCCACGGGTGTGTTAACGAGTCGCGTGTGTCCACGGGTGTGTTAACGAGTCGCGTGTGTCCACGGGTGTGTTAACGAGTCGCGTGTGCCCACGGGTGTGTTAACGAGTCGCGTGTGTCCACGGGTGTGTTAACGAGTCACGTGTGTCCACGGGTGTGTTCACGAGTCACGTGTCCACGGGTGTATTCACGAGTCACGTGTGTTAACGAGTCACGTGTGTCCACAGGTGTGTTAACGAGTCACGTGTGTCCACAGGTGTGTTAACGTGTCACGTGTCCACAGGTGTGTTAACGAGTCACGTGTGTCCACAGGTGTGTTAACGAGTCACGTGTGTCCACAGGTGTGTTAACGAGTCACGTGTGTCCACAGGTGTGTTAACGAGTCACGTGTGTCCACAGGTGTGTTAACGAGTCACGTGTGTCCACAGGTGTGTTAACGAGTCACGTGTCCACAGGTGTGTTAACGAGTCACGTGTGCCCACAGGTGTGTTAACGTGTCACGTGTGCCCACAGGTGTGTTAACGAGTCACGTGTGTCCACAGGTGTGTTAACGAGTCACGTGTGTCCACAGGTGTGTTAACGAGTCACGTGTGTTAACGAGTCACGTGTGCCCACAGGTGTGTTAACGAGTCACGTGTGCCCACAGGTGTGTTAACGAGTCACGTGTGCCCACAGGTGTGTTAACGAGTCACGTGTGTTAACGAGTCACGTGTGTCCACAGGTGTGTTAACGAGTCACGTGTGTTAACGAGTCACGTGTGCCCACAGGTGTGTTAACGTGTCACGTGTGTTAACGAGTCACGTGTGTCCACAGGTGTGTTAACGAGTCACGTGTGTCCACAGGTGTGTTAACGAGTCACGTGTGCCCACAGGTGTGTTAACGAGTCACGTGTGTTAACGAGTCACGTGTGCCCACAGGTGTGTTAACGAGTCACGTGTGCCCACAGGTGTGTTAACGAGTCACGTGTGTTAACGAGTCACGTGTGTCCACAGGTGTGTTAACGAGTCACGTGTGTTAACGAGTCACGTGTGTCCACAGGTGTGTTAACGAGTCACGTGTGTCCACAGGTGTGTTAACGAGTCACGTGTGTTAACGAGTCACGTGTGTCCACAGGTGTGGTTTCAGAACCGCCGGGCCAAGTGGCGCCGTCAAGAGAAGCTGGAGGCCACGGCCATGAAACTCCACGACCCCGCGCCGGTTCCCCTCGCTTTCGGTCGCTCCTCTCTCCCCGCGGCTCACCACCACCCCCATCACCACCCCCATCACCATCATCACCCCCATCACCACCCCCACCACCACCCCCACCCGCTCCCCCCGGGCCCCCCCGCCGCCGCCGCGGTGGTGGCCGCCACGGGCGGCAACGCGGGGCCCCTCGGGCTGGACACGTGGCTGGGGGGTTCCCCTCTCGCGGGGGCGGCCATGCACGGCCTCCCGGGGTTCGTAACCCCCCACGGAGGTCCGCCCGGGGTGGGGTTGGGGCTGGGAGTCGGATTCCCGGGGGGCGCAACCGGCGGGGGAGCCACCGGATTCCTCGGTGGCGCAGGAGGTGGAGGTGGTGGCGGAGGTGGAACCAGCCCCACGTCAATGCAGGCGCTGGGTTTCCACAACCATCACGCCATCAACCACCACCATCACCAGCACCAACACCAGCATCAACACCAACAACAACAACAGCAGCAGCAGCACCAACAGCATCAGCAGCAGCAAGCCGTTGCTGTTCACGCCAGCATGGAATTGGACTCCGGGCCCCCCGCGTTTGCTGATAAATTCCCCGTGGGGGGCGATGGCGGTGGGGAGGGGGTGGGAGGCCGCTCGTCCAGTATCGCGGCGCTCAGGATGAAAGCGCGGGAGCACCTGCAGAGCCTCGGGAAAGCGTGGAGGGCCTGACCCGGGGCGTGCACGTTCACCTGGTGGGGTAGGGTGACGTCTGTTCACCTCGACTCATTCCACTGCAGAGGGCAGGTGTGTACTTATCACCTGCGAGAGGCACAGGTGTGTACTTATCACCTGCGAGAGGCACAGGTGTGCGTATCGGCCATGGACACAATTCAACAACTGCAACAGGTGCACACCTTACCTGGGATAGATGATTGTGCGCACCTGCGACACGCGCGTCAGTGTACAGTATTATTCCTTACCTGGTGGGGCAGGTGAGCTTCGCCAACCTCACACCTGGGACTCATTCATTCTGCTACGCAGAATTGTTTAAAGGCGTACAGCCAGCACTGAACCCGGGACGGGCACGGATGTGTCCATGACGTGTGGACAAAGGAGTCTACACATCAGGGACAGGTTGGTGACCCACCTGGGATAGGCGTTGCCTCACGCTTTCCGGTGGGCGTCGACCTTGTTGTCAGCGTGAGCGAGGGTGTGTGTTGGTGTGGATGGATCCCCGCATCGAATAAACTCGATTAGTCGAAGCGTCGCGACCCCGGGGTGAGACCCTGTGACTCTGGGAGAGGGGTCTGGGCCCTAACCACGACTCCCACCCAGCCCTCCCCCCGAAGCCGCCGCAGCCGCGTGAGTCGCCCGCGAGGCGAGAGTTGCCGGGCGGCCTCCAGGAGTCGACGTTTTTTCTTCTCACAAGAGAAACGAACGCGAAACAGCTCGAGTGGCGCGGTGGCACTTTGAGGAGGACAACCATCATCGCCTGCAACGCGTCAACGGGCAACGCGTGGACCACGAGCGACTGCGGCGGCTGGGGAGGGCAGCGGAATGGAGTGACAGAGTTATCTCTCGAGCCAATAAAAGTGCAAGGTTTGATGAACACTGTGCAAGCCCAGTGGTTGATCTAGATTGTGAGTTAACCTCGTGATTTGTGATGGGGTAGAGCTCGCACCGTACTCGTGGCTGGTTCATTATGGATGCGGTAGGCCAAGTACCAGTCACTCATTAGGTGACTAATGAGTGACTGGTCGATTAGCCAGCCACACGGTACCTGAGTTACTCGACAAACAATCAGAAGCTGTCTCTGCCATCCGTGCAGATCCCATTCGAGCTGGATTTTGGAAGCCACAATTTGCTTCAAATGAAGTAAGCCTGACGACATTAGGCAGTCACGTGTTGCTCCGTCTCCGATCTGATTGGACGTTTAATTGTTTAGCAAGGTGAGGCCCACTGAGCCTTTTCAGAAGCGACCTGGCCACAAATGATAGCGCAACGAAGTGGCTCATCACGTGGGAATGTATAGCAGCAACATACTCTAAACGCGTGATGTTGGTTCTAAATGTCAAGAGAAAAACCAGAGGGCTCGGAGAAAAATCCACACGACCACGGGGAGACCGAGCAAAGTCCAAATGTACAGCAGGCGTCAGGGTCGGGATCGAACCCAGGAACCTCCTGCTTACCAGGCGAGGGAGTGAACGTCTCTCCACCGCGGCGTCTAGTTGCAGCTCCCACGCACAGTCGAAGGGTTTGCAGCTTGAATCAGAATTGTTCAGATTTGGGGAGCAATGCGAGGCTTGCCACAGTGGCAGTGACGATTGCCGGCAGTGTTTGCTCTGAAATTTCCCACGCGAATCATGGCCTTCGAGGTTACAGCGAGAGTTGGGTTCACTGTTGGGGCTGCGTGTCCAGTCGGGGCTTTAGGGAACACGTCATCGTCTTCACACCTGCGTGCCCTCACCTGGGTCCGTGGTGCCTCGCTCACCCACGCACTCACCACGCGGGCCCACACCCGGACCGCCCCGTTCCCTCTGGGTGACCCCGGCTTGGACCAAGCCTGCCCGCCGACCCCCAACCACGGCACCCCCAACCACGGCACCCCCACCCCTCCCCACCCCTCCCCACCCGCCCCGAACCCGCAACACAAAGCGCCGCTAATGACTGCGCTGCGCTACTAATGAGTCCCACCCCCCACCATCAGCCCCACCCCCCACCACCAGCCCCTCCCCCACCATTAGCCCCCACCATCAGCCCCTCCCCCACCCCCCACCACCAGCCCCACCCCCCACCATCAGCCCCTCCCCCACCCCCCCTCAATCCCAACCCCGCCCCCTACTCTCCCTTCCCCTCGGCGCACTCGCAGCTCCCCCTCGCAAAGACAAACCACGTGATGCGCACACCTCCACGACACGCCCACTGAACTCGTCCACCTACTTCATTCACTCACCTACACAGTCACTCATTCACACACTCATTCACTCACCTACACAGTCACTCATTCACTCACCTACACAGTCACTCATTCACTCACCTACACAGTCACTCATTCACTCACCTACACAGTCACTCATTCACTCACCTACACAGTCACTCATCCACACACTCATTCACTCACCTACACAGTCACTCATTCACACACTCATTCACTCACCTACACAGTCACTCATTCGCACACTAATTCACTCACCTACACAGTCACTCATTCACACACTCATTCACTCACCTACACAGTCACTCATTCACTCACCTACACAGTCACTCATCCACACACTCATTCACTCACCTACACAGTCACTCATTCACTCACCTACACAGTCACTCATTCACTCACCTACACAGTCACTCATTCACTCACCTACACAGTCACTCATTCACACACTCATTCACTCACCTACACAGTCACTCATTCACACACTCATTCACTCACCTACACAGTCACTCATTCACACACTCATTCACTCACCTACACAGTCACTCATTCACTCACCTACACAGTCACTCATTCACTCACCTACACAGTCACTCATCCACACACTCATTCACTCACCTACACAGTCACTCATTCACACACTCATTCACTCACCTACACAGTCACTCATTCACTCACCTACACAGTCACTCATCCACACACTCATTCACTCACCTACACAGTCACTCATTCACTCACCTACACAGTCACTCATTCACTCACCTACACAGTCACTCATTCACTCACCTACACAGTCACTCATTCACACACTCATTCACTCACCTACACAGTCACTCATTCACACACTCATTCACTCACCTACACAGTCACTCATTCACACACTCATTCACTCACCTACACAGTCACTCATTCACTCACCTACACAGTCACTCATTCACTCACCTACACAGTCACTCATCCGCACACTCATTCACTCACCTACACAGTCACTCATTCACACATTCATTCACTCACCTACACAGTCACTCATTCACTCACCTACACAGTCACTCATTCACTCACCTACACAGTCACTCATTCACTCACCTACACAGTCACTCATTCACTCACCTACACAGTCACTCATTCACACACTCATTCACTTACCTACACAGTCACTTATTCACTCACCTACACAGTCACTCATTCACTCACCTACACAGTCACTCATTCACTCACCTACACAGTCACTCATTCACTCACCTACACAGTCACTCATTCACACACTCGTTCACTCACCTACACAGTCACTCATCCACACACTCATTCACTCACCTACACAGTCACTCATTCACTCACCTACACAGTCACTCATTCACTCACCTACACAGTCACTCATTCACACACTCATTCACTCACCTACACAGTCACTCATTCACACACTCATTCACTCACCTACACAGTCACTCATTCACTCACCTACACAGTCACTCATTCACACACTTATTCACTCACCTACACAGTCACTCATTCACACACTCATTCACTCACCTACACAGTCACTCATTCACACACTCATTCACTCACCTACACAGTCACTCATTCACACACTCACCTACACAGTCACTCATTCACACACTCATTCACTCACCTACACAGTCACTCATTCACACACTCATTCACTGACCTACACGGTCACTCATTCACACACTCATTCACCCACCTACACAGTCACTCATTCACACTCATTCACTGACCTACACAGTCACTCATGCACACTCATTCACTCACCTACACAGTCACTCATTCACACAATCATTCACTCACTTACACAGTCACTCATGCACACACTCATTCACTCACCTACACAGTCACTCATTCACACACTCATTCACTCACCTACATAGTCACTCATTCACACTCATTCACTCACCTACACAGTCACTCGCTCGCCTACACATTCATTGACTCACCTACACAGTCACTCATTCACACTCATTCACTCACCTACACAGTCACTTGCTCGCCTACACACTCATTCACACACTCATTCACTCACCTACACAACAACAACAACAACCGCTATTCGCCACTAAGTGGCGGTGACGTCACCACGACGCTTGTGCCAGGCTATGTGCACCCTGAGGCCACGTGAAGTGTAATTCGTAGTTTCGTGGTAATTAATTGAAGGTGGAGGGGTTACCAGCCCCTCGCACCCGTCCAGAGCCCCCGTTTAGCCCCTGTGGTGGACACATATGCCATGAGGGGAGGAGCCAATCAAAATTGGATCTCCCCCCACAGCGCTGTCCACGACAGAGTTGCCTACACAGTCACTCATTCACACTCATTCACTCACCTACACAGTCACTTGCTCGCCTACACACTCATTCACACACTAATTCACTCACCTACACAGTCACTCGCTCGCCTACACACTCCTTCACAATCATTCACTCACCTACACAGTCACTCATTCGCACACTCATTCACTCACCTACACAGTCACTTGCTCGCCTACACACTCATTCACACAATCATTCACTCACCTACACAGTCACTCATTCACACACTCACCTACACAGTCACTCATTCACACACTCACCTACACAGTCACTCATTCACACACTCACCTACACAGTCACTCATTCACACACTCATTCACTCACCTACACAGTCACTCGCTCGCCTACACACTCATTCACACACTAATTCACTCACCTACACAGTCACTCGCTCGCCTACACACTCATTCACACACTTATTCACTCACCTACAGTTACTCGCTCGCCTACACACTCATTCACACACTCATTCACTCACCTACACAGTCACTCGCTCGCCTACACACTCATTCACACACTCATTCACTCACCTACAGTTACTCGCTCGCCTACACACTCATTCACACACTCATTCACTCACCCACTTAGCTGCACAAGCATCACCGCACCACCCACTTACCAACTCATTCATTCACCCTACACCCACCCACCTACTCAACCATTCACTCACACATCTACTCATTCATTTACTCATCCGTCCACCGATGCATTGATGAACCCACATGTATGTGTGTAGATGTATGGTTGTGATGGTATGCACAGGTATTTGTTTATGCGTGTGATAGTGTGTGTGAATGCACAGGTGCGTACAGGTGAGTGTGTGAATGCACAGGTGTGTACAGGTGTGTGCAGGTGTGTACAGGTGTGTACAGGTGAGTGTGTGAATGTACAGGTGTGTGCAAGTGTGTGCAGGTGTGTGCAGGTGTGTGCAGGTGTGTACAGGTGTGTGCAGGTGTGTACAGGTGTGTGCAGGTGTGTACAGGTGTGTACAGGTGTGTGCAGGTGTGTGCAGGTGTGTACAGGTGTGTACAGGTGTGTGCAGGTGTGTACAGGTGTGTGCAGGTGGGTGCAGGTGTGTACAGGTGTGTACAGGTGAGTGTGTGAATGTACAGGTGTGTGCAGGTGTGTGCAGGTGTGTACAGGTGTGTACAGGTGTGTACAGGTGTGTGCAGTGCCACCATAGCTCCCCAGTGACGCCATGCGAACCTCGACTCCCCGAGCCACGGGGTCACGGACCCCGGGAGGGGTCTACGTGGTGGGTGGGGGGGGGGGGGCCCGGTGGGGGGGGTGGGCCCGGGGGGGGGGCCCACCTCTATCCCCTTTCTCCTGGGCTCCCCGCCGGGAGGGAGGGGGCGGGTTGTGTTCGTGAATGGAGTCGGGGGGGGGGGTCTGGGCGCCACGTCCCGCTCGCTAATGAGGAGCGAGCGGCGCGGCCTCATTAGCGAGGGGCACTTCACGGGGGGGGGGGGGGGGGGGGCCCTGGGAGGGGGGGCCCTGGGAGGGGGTTGTCACCATTAGACACGTGACACAAAGTCGTAATAATCATCGCTAAAGACTCCAACAACGCCGCGCGCGGGATTAAAATTACACAAACAGGCGACGTTTCGGGAATGGCCTTTCGCAGCGCATAAGTTGAAGGGCCATTGCCCAAAACGTCGCCGATTGTACAGTTTTCACTAGAAGGCTACGCGCGCACTATTGTTATTGAGGAGCGCGCTGAGTTTCTAAACCATTGATGGACAATAGTTAATCAATACTACTGATGGACAATAGTTAATCAATACTACTGATGGACAAGACACAGTATCAGCGGAAATCGAAGAAAATATCACACCGGTTTAGCACGCCAATCGATTATTCCATAATCGATTTCAACAGTTCAATGTATTAATCGATTGCGCCAGCTCTTTTGACTAATCGATTCCACCAATTTAATGCACGACATTTCACCAGAGAGTAATCGGTTTTCATATCCCAGTAATCGATTCCTCGCCTATTTACAATGGCGGCGTTGCCTGTCAAAGGGAGAGAACGGGGGGGGGTGAGGGGGCTGAGCGGGGGGGGGGGTGAGCGGGGGGGGGGTGAGCGGGGGGGGGGGTGAGCGGGGGGGGGGGTGAGCGGGGGGGGGGTGAGCGGGGGGGGGTGAGCGGGAGGGGGTGAGCGGGGGGGGGGGTGAGCGGGGGGGGGGTGAGCGGGGGGGGGGTGAGCGGGGGGGGGGGTGAGCGGGGGGGGGTGAGCGGGGGGGGGGTGAGCGGGGGGGGGGGGGTGAGCGGGGGGGGGTGAGCGGGGGGGGGTGAGCGGGAGGGGGTGAGCGGGGGGGGTGAGCGGGGGGGGGGGTGAGGGGGGGGGTGAGAGGGGGGGGGGGTGAGAGGGGGGGGGGTGAGAGGGGAGGGGTGAGCGGGGGGGGCGGCAGCTCGCGACGCGTGACGTCACGGCCTGAGTCACGTGGCGCGAGCCGCGTGAGGTCGGAGGTCGCGCGGGCCGTCGTGGCCAGCCCAAGGCTGCAGGTGGCCGCCGGCGTCTCCGCCGCGCTCTCTCCACTGCTGGACGCGCCTCGCCTCCTGCCCACCGCACCGGGCCTGCAGCGCTACCCCCCCCACCCGAGGCGAGGTCCGTGTCCCCCTCGCCGCGGCGGCCCGGCCCCGTCCTGCCGGGGCCGGGGCCGGTGGCCGCCTTGGTCCCCGCGTTCACTGGCGGCCTCGCGGTCATGGCAGTGGAGGCGGCGACTTCCTTGGTGGGGGGGGCCGCGAAAGTTCACAAAGACAAAGATCCCCCGTATAGCCTTAACAGACTGTAGGGGCAAGAGCCGCTAGCGAGCACACATACACACACGTACACACACACACGCACACACACACGGGACTACCACCACCGTAATGGGTTGACAGCTGGCTGGAATGCCTAGAGGGGGTTGCGCGTGCCGTGAACGTTGAGTACGCGGGAGAGACAAAGGCGGCCGGGCGTAGTGGTTCTCTGACCGCACCACCCCGTCGTGCACTGCGCGTACAGGGAGCGGTAGTGCAGTGGTTCTACTCCTGCGCTGCGGACCCGGCGACCCTGAACCGGTTCTGGGCCTCCATTAGGTCTACTCGGCCGTAAAAATCAGGCCCCCCAACCCCCTATTAGGTGCACCGGTGTGGGCCTCAGGCGCCACTCGCCCACAACACTCGTCCACAACACTCGTCCCACAACACTCGTCCACAACACTCGTCCACAACACTCGCCCACAACACTCGTCCACAAACTCGTCCCACAACACTCCTCCACAACACTCCTCCACAACACTCGCCCACAACACTCGTCCCACCACTCGTCCACAACACTCGCCCACAACACTCGCCCCACAACACTCCTCCACAACACTCGCCCACAACACTCGCCCACAACACTCGTCCCACAACACTCGTCCCACAACACTCGTCCACAACACTCGTCCCACAACACTCGTCCCACAACACTCGCCCACAACACTCGTCCCACAACACTCGCCCACAACACTCGCCCACAACACTCGCCCACAACACTCGTCCCACAACACTCGTCCCACAACACTCGCCCACAACACTCGCCCACAACACTCGTCCCACAACACTCGTCCCACAACACTCGTCCCACAACACTCGCCCACAACACTCGCCCACAACACTCGTCCCACAACACTCGTCCACAACACTCGTCCCACAACACTCGTCCACAACACTCGTCCACAACACTCCTCCACAACACTCGTCCACAACACTCGGCCCACAACACTCGGCCCACAACACTCGTCCCACAACACTCGTCCACAACACTCCTCCACAACACTCGCCCACAACACTCGTCCACAAACTCGTCCCACAACACTCCTCCACAACACTCGTCCAGAACACTCGTCCACAACACTCGTCCCACAACACTCCTCCACAACACTCCTCCACAACACTCGTCCACAACACTCGCCCACAACACTCGTCCCACAACACTCGCCCACAACACTCGCCCACAACACTCGTCCCACAACACTCGCCCCACAACACTCGGCCCACAACACTCGTCCCACAACACTCGTCCACAACACTCGTCCACAACACTCGTCCAGAACACTCGCCCACAACACTCGTCCCACAACACTCGTCCCACAACACTCGTCCCACAACACTCGTCCCACAACACTCGCCCACAACACTCGTCCCACAACACTCGTCCACAACACTCGTCCCACAACACTCGCCCACAACACTCGTCCCACAACACTCGTCCCACAACACTCCTCCACAACACTCGCCCACAACACTCGCCCACAACACTCGCCCACAACACTCGTCCCACAACACTCGTCCCACAACACTCGCCCACAACACTCGTCCCACAACACTCGTCCCACAACACTCGCCCACAACACTCGTCCCACAACACTCGTCCCACAACACTCGTCCCACAACACTCGTCCACAACACTCGTCCACAACACTCGTCCCACAACACTCGTCCCACAACACTCGTCCACAACACTCGCCCACAACACTCGCCCACAACACTCGTCCAGAACACTCGTCCACAACACTCGTCCCACAACACTCGTCCCACAACACTCGCCCACAACACTCGCCCACAACACTCGCCCACAACACTCGCCCACAACACTCCTCCACAACACTCGTCCCACAACACTCGTCCACAACACTCGCCCACAACACTCGCCCACAACACTCGTCCACAACACTCGCCCACAACACTCGCCCACAACACTCGTCCAGAACACTCGTCCACAACACTCGTCCCACAACACTCGTCCCACAACACTCGCCCACAACACTCGCCCACAACACTCGTCCCACAACACTCGTCCACAACACTCCTCCACAACACTCGCCCACAACACTCGTCCACAACACTCGTCCCACAACACTCGTCCCACAACACTCGTCCCACAACACTCGTCCCACAACACTCGCCCACAACACTCGCCCACAACACTCGTCCAGAACACTCGCCCACAACACTCGTCCCACAACACTCGTCCCACAACACTCGCCCACAACACTCGCCCACAACACTCGCCCACAACACTCGTCCCACAACACTCGCCCACAACACTCGCCCACAACACTCGTCCCACAACACTCGTCCACAACACTCGCCCACAACACTCGTCCAGAACACTCGCCCACAACACTCGTCCACAACACTCGCCCACAACACTCGTCCACAACACTCGTCCACAACACTCGTCCCACAACACTCGCCCACAACACTCGTCCCAACAGCCTGTCAGAGGCTACGCGGGGATCTGTGTTCCTGTGGGAGCGTGCGGGTTGGACCGTACTGAGCCGGTGGAGCGTGGGCCCCACGTGGCCCGCGCATTAAACTCCATCCTCATCACACGTGCGTCCAGTCTCCAACGTTAGGAATCTATTATCTCTGTAGCTGGGTGATTCTCCCTGTAGCTGAGTGATTCTCTCTGTAGCTGGGTGATTCTCCCTGTAGCTGAGTGATTCTCTCTGTAGCTGGGTGATTCTCCCTGTAGCTGAGTGATTCTCCCTGTAGCTGGGTGATTCTCCCTGTAGCTGAGTGATTCTCTCTGTAGCTGAGTGATTCTCCCTGTAGCTGAGTGATTCTCCCTGTAGCTGGGTGATTATCCCTGTAGCTGAGTGATTCTCTCTGTAGCTGGGTGATTCTCCCTGTAGCTGAGTGATTCTCTCTGTAGCTGGGTGATTCTCCCTGTAGCTGGGTGATTCTCCCTGTAGCTGGGTGATTATCTCTGTAGCTGGGTGATTCTCCCTGTAGCTGAGTGATTCTCTCTGTAGCTGGGTGATTCTCCCTGTAGCTGGGTGATTCTCCCTATAGCTGGGTGATTCTCCCTGTAGCTGAGTGATTCTCTCTGTAGCTGGGTGATTCTCCCTGTAGCTGGGTGATTCTCCCTGTAGCTGGGTGATTATCTCTGTAGCTGGGTGATTCTCCCTGTATCTGAGTGATTCTCTCTGTAGCTGGGTGATTCTCCCTGTAGCTGGGTGATTCTCCCTGTAGCTGGGTGATTCTCCCTGTAGCTGGGTGATTCTGTAGCTGAGTGATTCTCCCTGTAGCTGGGTGATTCTCTCTGTAGCTGGGTGATTCTCTCTATAGCTGGGTGATTCTCTCTGTAGCGGAGTGATTCTCTCTGTAGCTGAGTGATTCTCCCTGTAGCTGGGTGATTCTCCCTGTGCTGAGTGATTCTCCCTGTAGCTGAGTGATTCTCTCTGTAGCTGGGTGATTCTCCCTGTAGCTGAGTGATTCTCCCTGTAGCTGAGGGATTCTCCCTGTAGCTGAGTGATTCTCTCTGTAGCTGGGTGATTCTCTCCCTGTGGCTGGGTGATTCTCCCTGTAGCTGAGTATTCTCCCTGTAGCTGAGTGATTCTCCCTGTACCTGAGTGATTCTCCTGTAGCTGAGTGATTCTCTCCTGTAGCTGGGTGATTCTCCCTGTAGCTGAGTGATTCTCCCTGTAGCTGGGTGATTCTCCCTGTAGCTGGGGTGATTCTCCCTTAGCTGAGTGATTCTCCCTGTAGCTGGGTGATTATCCTGTAGCTGAGTGATTCTCCCTGTTGCTGGTGATTCTCCCTGTAGCTGGTGATTCTCCCTGTAGCTGGGTGATTCTCCCTGTAGCTAAGTGATTCTCCCTGTAGCTGAGTGATTTCTCCCTGTAGCTGAGTGATTCTCCCTGTAGCTGGTGATTCTCCCTGTAGCTGGGATTCTCCCTGTAGCTGAGTGATTCTCCCTGTAGCTGAGTGATTCTCCCTGTAGCTGGTGATTCTCCCTGTAGCTGGTGATTCTCCCTGTAGCTGGTGATTCTCCCTGTAAGCTGAGTGATTCTCCTGTAGCTGGGTGATTCTCCCTGTAGCTGGGTGATTCTCCCTGTAGCTGGTGTGATTCTCCCTGTAGCTGAGTTGATTTCTCTCTGTTCCTGGTGATTCTCCCTGTAGCTGGGTGATTTCTCCCTTGTAGCTGGGTGATTCTCCCTGTAGCTAAGTGATTCTCCCTGTAGCTGAGTGATCTCCCTGTAGCTGAGTGATTCTCCCTGTAGCTGGTGATTCTCCCTGTAGCTGGGTGATTCTCCCTGTAGCTGGGTGATTCTCCCTTAGCGAGTGATCTTCCTGTAGGTGAGTGATTCTCCCTGTAGCTGAGTGATTCTCCTGTACCTGAGTGATTCTCCCTGTAGCTGAGTGATTCTCCCCTGTAGCTGGGTGATTCTCCCTGTAGCTGAGTGATTCTCCCTGTAGCTGGGTGATTCTCCCCTGTAGCTGGGTGATTCTCCCTGTAGCTGGGTGATTCTCACCTGTAGCTGAGTGATTCTCCCTGTAGCTGAGTGATTCTCCCCTGTAGCTCGGTGATTCTCCCTGTAGCTGGAGTGATTCTCCCTGTAGCTGAGTGATTCTTCTCTGTTAGCTGAGTGATTCTCCCTGTACTGAGTGATTCTCCCTGTAGCTGGGTGATTCTCCCTGTAGCTGAGTGATTCTCCCTGTAGCTGGGTGATTATCCCTGTAGCTGAGTGATTCTCCCTGTTGCTGGTGATTATCCCTGTAGCTTTTTGGGCTGATTCTCCCTGTAGCTGGGTGATTCTCCCTGTAGCTAAGTGATTCTCCCTGTAGCTGAGT